TGTGTAAGTGCCCATAAAGGTTAAAGTAAGTCACTTCCAGTAAGCTCTGTGTGTGTTAATGAACTGTAGTGTGTTTGTGTTTGAAAACCTAAAACCAGGTGCAACCCCCTTTTTCCTTTCTGCATAGCAGTATCTGTCTTTCTCACCCACACCCCCTTCCTCCCTCCTTCCCTCCAATGTAAAAGGCAACCTCTCTGTGGGTCTCTCCCTTTGTCAGCCCCCCTATTTGGCCCTTTAAGTTACCGGAGGTGACTGCGCTTCTTAGAAGTACTAAAATGGAAACTGAGGTGTTATACAGGGGTGAAGAAAAGGATATCTTTTTAGACCCTACTAGTGAAGTCAGAGAATAGAAAGGTATATCGTGGGATAAGATGTCAGGTGGGATTTTTTTTAATACCGTAAGACCTTTACCTCAACAAAACACGTAGGCATATACTAGAAAGATCTGAAACATAGTGTATTCTTGAGTTTTTAAGAAATGTTCCCACTCAAATTATAGCAAGAAACAAAAGGGCAACGTGTAATGCGAAGGTTGTCCTTTGCTACTCAAGAAAACAAAGTCATTTAGAAAGCTATGGACTGCTGCAGAACGCTCATACCTCAACTAATTATACCATATTATCCATGCAGAGCACTGAACAGTCAGTCTATCGCATGTTCAGCCAGTCTTAAAGGCAGCAGCTCACCCAGGGTTTCTCATGGCTGATTTGTATGCTTGCATGATATTTGAGATCTAAATCCTCAGGTGAAATCTTGTTGCCATAGCAGCCCAAATATGCAGTTACCAAGAACCACTGCCACAGCAGATAGGAGGGATCTCAATATCTTGCAGTTGAAGATGAAAGTCACTGCGAAGGAGAGGTCATAGATCGTGGACTGAAACTGGTGCTGTGTATATAGAGTTCATGTTCCTGCTGTAATGATGTTGCTTTGGCCTGGCACGTATCCCGGATTTGGTACAGTTTCATTTCTCATTTCACAGTTTTCTCAGGTAGTATGATTGTTTTGAAAGGAAAGGTTCCTCACACCTATCTACACTGAAAAGAAATGGCGCTTCGCCTATTTTACTAAGTCTGTAGTATTTAAAAAAGTCTCTAGTCTGTACTGACACAGTCTAGAGTCATTTCGGACAAAGGACTACATTTACAGGTCAATTCTTGAAGTCTTACCTGTCCTGTCGTGTACATAATCAGGTCAGAGTCTACAATCACTGGATAAGATCTTCATATGGATGAGTTAGAGATTAACCACATGGGGTTTTTTTATTTGGTGTTTTTTGTCAGAAATACAAGGGAGAAATTAAAGGTTTTTTTTTTTTTTTGTATATTTAGCAATTTACATTTCCAGACTGGGAAAGTTATCTGACTCTTTACGTCAGCGGTCGTTGATTTTGTAACCCTTCCTGTTTAAAATAACTTTCTCTCGTAGAGGGAACTTCCCTGTGACCCCTCTGTGGTTCAGTTTGTGTGTCTGTGACTGTGTGTGGACTGGGAGGGGGTGGTGTTTGTAGATGGCTGCACATCTGTATGCGTGTGTCATTTTGTCTGAGCGTTTTGAATGGATGGAGATGTGTGTCTATTTTTGCACTCTTTTGCGTCAGTTGTGTCTAATCAAGACTTGACGAGGTAAAAGGAAGTAAATTTTCTAGCACTGTTCTCAAATGCATTTACATATGTACTTATCTCTCTATCAGTGGTAGATGCATTGTGAAATTAAATGCAGAGCAGTTTCCTGATCGAGCAAATTGATATTCAGGAGGGAACTTTTGTCTTTTTAATCAGCCCTCTAGTTGAATTTAGCATGTTTGAATGTGAATGAATTACACCTCTTATACATTTTACTACATAAGGGAATATATTGTATACTGCCTAGTAATTTAAAATTCTGGATACAGAATGCAGTGATAAATGTTTAAAAAACAGCAGTTACACTGTTTTCAAATGACCTCACTACATGGTTTATTTATGTCTGCACATCCATAAATGGAAAGTAAAGTGGAAACATTGTGTTGCATTGTGGGCTACAGTATCCCACTCAATGCACTACATTTTGACAAAAGCAATAGGTCCTCCAAACCTTCCATGTACACAGAAAAGGTTAACTCAGTGCACAACGTATGTCTAGATACTGCTAAAATTGTATGAGTAGTTTGATAGCATGGTATTCCAAACTGGTTATGACCTTTCACTTCCCTGTTTGCTCTCACTAGACATGGACTCCATCGAATCTTTTCTTGTCGTGGAATCGCCATCGCTGTAGAGGCGTTTTGGCACCGAGGGCACCGTGAAATCACTGTCTTTGTTCCTCAGTGGAGACAGAAAAAAGACCCCAACATCACTGGTAGGAGTTCAGTTTCATTCTGTCATTAGACCAGCAATATATATATATACATATAATTTGACTTGAAATTTCTAGTCAGAAATGTGACATATTACATATATTGTTGCAGAACAACACTTTCTGACCCAGCTGGAAAACTTGCGACTCCTTTCTTTCACTCCATCTAGAGAAGTGTGTGGGCAGAGAATTTCCTCCCATGATGACAGGTACAAGATCCAGCCGCTAAAAAGTCAACTAGAACAGAAGTCTGTTCCTCAACACATTACCAGACAAAATAGTATTTAACTTGTGGCTTAGATTCATTTGCATACTGATTTTCAATAATGTTTCTGGAAATCACACAAATGTACTCTTTTATAGTGTGTATAAAAGATGTCTACGCACAGCATAGAGATGGGATATCAAAGTGCATAAACCATTTCCCATGCACACATCGGAGTTTACAAAAAATAAAGTTGATGTAGAAATATGCACACTGCATATTGTCTCTTGTATCGGCACAGATATTTACAGACATATATTTTCAGTGTGTGTCATCTGTTTTCCTATCTGGATGCTGATATGAATATGGAAATTATATGCCGATGAAATCATGCATAATAAAAACAGGTGTTGTGTTCTCCATTTAATGGTTATTTCAAGAGCAAGTGGGTAGAATTGGAAAATCTGAGAACGTTGAGGATGAAATCTACACAATGTTTTATACATGCCCTAGGTTTTTCTCGATGCCCTGCTTGATCTATGACCTTCTTCACAGATTCCTACTTCATCTGGCTGAGAAGACAGGTGGGGTTATCATCACCAATGACAACCTGAGGGACTTTGTGAACCAGTCAGAAGTGTGGAGAAGGATTATTCAGGAGAGGTAAGAAGAACACCTTTACAGCAAGATGTCCAGAACACCATCAGTGCTTTTTTTTCTAATAACATACACTACTATTCCAAAGTTTTGGTGTCAGAAAGAAAGAAATTATTACTTTTATTCAGCAGGGACATATTAAACTGACAGTCAAGACGTACAATTTTTTTATTATTATTCTTTTTTTTTTAGCACTTTCAAATAAATACTGTTTAAATAATGATATCAATAAATAAATAATGCTGTTCTTTTGAATGTTCTCAATCCTGATATCGGTTTCCACAAAAATATTAAGCAGGACAGCTGCATCCAACACTGATAATAATAATCAATGTTTCTTGAGCACAAATCAGCATATCATGTGACACTCATAACTGCAGTAATGTTACTGAAAATTCAGCTTTGCCACCACAGGTATAACTAACATTTTAAAATATATTAAAATAGAAAACAGTTCTTTTAAACTGT